TGTTGCATAGTTTATTTGTGATTTCCCTGGTGCTGATTCTGATTTTGACTTTTTGATTGTATTTTCAACTTCTGTGTACGTGATTTCCTGGATACATGTATCATACCAGCTTGCTCTGATTTCTGAGTTGGGCTGGTACTCTTGTCTCCATGTGTTTCAGTTCTCTTCCTGTGGTGGCGTTTGATCTGGGGATCTTTGGAAGTGCTCTGTTACCCTTTTTTTAATCTCCGTCGGCTCTGTGACGACTGTAAAGGGGTCTTCATGAATGATTAGTTTATCCAGCGTAATACTGTTTCTGTCTTTTTGAAGGATGAAGTTTATCATCTTCTTCTTGTTTGTGGAGAGATGGATGAATCTTTCTTCTGTGTTTTTCTGTATCTTCTCCTATATTCTTTTGTTTGTTAGAGCGGCGAAACTCTTATATATCGTTTTCCAAACTTGTTTGATCATTTCTAGCCATTCTTTTGCTGCTGGTGTATGGTGGTTAGGTTCATCCCATGGTGGCTCACTAACTAATTCAGCTTCTTGATTTATTTTTTGGATTGATTTATGAATGCTTTCTGTCAGATCTGTTGACTGGATGTTGTGCTTGAAGTATTGTTTGCCTTTGCTATATAGTTTCCTGATTTCTGTTGATTTCTTTTCTTCTGGAGAAGTGTCTTTGGGATTGACCCTTCCCTTGTTTCTGCTAATTTTGATTTTGGTGATATGTTTGGAGCATGTCCTGCTGATGGCATCCCATGTTAGGTTCCAGAGCTTGTCAGATGACGAGGTTTTTGGGTCTGTATATGTTTTCTGTTGTTGTAGGATGTGGTGGATCTCTTCACGAAACTTTTTCCAGTTCTCCGAGGTTGTTCCTATTGTGGTATACCTGATTTCTGTTTGACTTCTTGTGAGGTTTTTTGGGATTATATCAATGTTGAGGAGTGAGATGCTGGTTTGGATTATAGCATGGTCACTATTTGATACCATTGCTGCCGCACTAATTTTTGTCTCTGTTGGGTACCAGTCCTTGTGATTTGAGATCCAGATATAATCTAATCTTGACATTGTTCTTCTGGAGTTTTGCCAGATGTATCCTGGATTGATAGGGTTAAGTGTCCTATAGCAGTCTATATAGTTTAGGTTCTCTAGGATTCGTAGTGCTGTGGAGGTAGGGAGCTGTGTCCTTTGTTTCTTGTTGGAAGATGATCTATGGTCGACTTGTGGATTCATTACTGAGTTGAAGTCTCCCAGTATTATTGTGTTCCAGTTTTTTCCGTGTCTGCTAAGAGTTTCTTCTACTATCCACTTGTTGACTTCTCTCTTTTCCTGTCTGTCTGCTGCTGGTATATAAACTCCTATAATACCGATATGTTTCTTTCCCTTGAACTGGAGGTCTATGCATATTCCTCTACCTGGGTATTTTTTTATCTTGCCTATATGTTTACTTAATTCTTTTTTGATCATTATGGCGATTTCTGCTCCTTTGTTATTGTTGCTTCAAAAGATATCATAGCTTGGGTGTTTCCAATATTTGCAATTTTCGTTCTGTATTTGTGTCTCTGTGAGTACTGCTATGTCGGTATCCCTTGTAACACAGTATGTAAATATTGTGTATCTTTTGGTCGGATCATTGATTCCTCTTACATTGTGTGTTAATAGTTTCCATTTGATCGTTGTTTTGAGAGGTGGTTGTGTATCAATATGTGTTATTTTTGTTTGTTCTGTTGGAAGGGATGGTGTGTTGTTATATGATGCTTCTTTTTTCCCCTTAATATTCATCAGTGTCTGATTGGTGAGGGGTGGTTGTTGTATTATCTATCAGTTGATTCAGTGTGCCGACGATGCTCTGGAATGTATCGTCAATGCTTGCCATTTTGGAATTCAAGTTGATTTGTTGTTCCCTTATGTTCAGTGTGTCTACTGCCGGGCTTGTTGCTTGTCTTTTCTGTTGATAGTTGAAGTCTTTGGGTTCTGGGGTTGTCGGGCGAGTTGTGTTTTGCTCAAGGTAGTCCTTTCCTGCCACAATGGCTTCTTGAATTTGTTTTTCGTTGTCTATAGAGTAGTAGTAAGCAAAGTCTTCGAGATTGTCGACCCTGATATTCAGGTCATTAATTGATTCTTTTATCTGCTTAAGTTCTGCTCCTATTGTTTGCACTGCTTTGAGTACTTCTGTAAGCGAGAATTGAAGATTTATCATTGCTGCAGGGTTGTTCGCTGCTAGGTTAGTAGGTCTGTTGGAGGCTTGTTTGGCTATTTGGGCAAATGTGCCTTTTTTGGCAAATCTACCTGAAGCTTTGTTGAATTGTTCCCATGCTCTGCGTTTGTCTTGACCAATCGGTTTATTTGTTTGCTTGGTAATAAGCTTTCTAATTTGTATTGTTCCCTCTGGTTTGAATTTCTGATAGAGAGAACTATATCTTTTTGCTTTGTCTTTGAGCATTTGTTGTTTTTCTCGATGTTTGGCTTTGATTGTACATTGTGCTGCCAGGTGGTCTGCTGTGCTGCAGATTGCACAAAGTTTCTCTTCTACTTCATGCCAGTTGAGAAGTGTTTCTCCCAGATGCACTTTTTGCTTTTTGACTTGTGCTTTTGCTTCTGCTGAGGTGAAATTTAAGAAGGCAAAGTGTTTTTTTGTATAGTTTCAGTTTCTAGGGATATGGCAAGATGCTGCTTTGATAGTACTATTGATGTCACATAAGTCATAGTCTGTGGTACCAGGGGGGAGATTGGTGAGTCTCAAAGTATATTTGTCCTGTGCTTGTTTTACCTCAAATGTTTTTAAAAGAGGATAGATTTTTAGGAGCTCTCCCTTAAATGGAATGCTCCATCTTGTACAAATTTTTTCGTAATCTTCTTGTTCTGCAAACTCAACTTGTGCGCTTTGCCACATGCCTGCAGTATTCATTTTAAATCTTTTAATTTGTCCAAATTGGGCAAGTTTTTGCTTAATTTCCTGTTTGTTGGTGTTTAGGGGGATGTCCCAGACACAGATTGACTTGTTCTTGGCTTCTGTTAGGTCAAGATCGGCCAAAATGGCCATGCGATGGTCATTATTTTTTTGAATAGGCAATTTGCATGCTTTTTGTGCATCTTTTTGATTAGCAAAAGATACGATGATCAATTTTGCCCCTGTTGCTGCGCCACACGGGCGCCTATGTAGGAGTCAAGTTGAGAGACTGTTTCTTTGACTGTGTTGAGTTTTTCCTCCATGGTGCCAGTCAGGTCTTCTGCCTGAATGGCCGTTTTGAAGCGGGAACGGCCGTATTGGGTGCGCCAGTCTGTGGGCGGCCCATAGGGGTATCTGGCCGGCTTGGGTGGCTGGTCCTGGGTGGGTGGAGCGTCCTCTGTCTCGCTCTCTGGGTCTGTTTGTATTGGGTCCTCATCAGAGTCGCCAAACATGGGTGGAGTGGGTGTCCGCTGGGGTTCCTCTGTATCCATCCAGGTGTCTGCTGTCCAGTCAAAGGAGGCATCCACTCCCTCCTCTATGATAGGTATCCAGCTGGGCGGCTGGCTACTGCCTGCTTCGGGTGCTGTTGGCTGCTGTTTATGCTTTTGTTTTTGTTGGTTTTTGGCTGCTAGGGGCTGTTGCTGGGTGGAGGAGGGCGGTCCCTTGCTCCAGGAAGTGCTGCTGCTGTATGTTGCCATGGCAGGTGGGGCCTTTGGGCATGCTCCTGGCTGATTATTGTGAATTTTAGGTGAATCTGGGTAATCAGGAAAGAGTTTTTTTTTTTGATTAATAAAGTTTATATATAATGTTTTTATAATAATAAACTGAAAGTTATACTGTACATAAATTCAGCTTATTGCGAAATTGATAAAACAAAAATCTCGATAAGCCAAATAAATTATCTCTTCCCACAACCTTCGGCTTATCGAGTTTCACTTGTACTAATTAGAATATAGGACTCAGAAAAGTCAACGAAATACATCATAAATACAGCATACATATATGCTATTGCAAACACAGACTGTTATCTATATCATAAACTGATTGAAGATTTTTCATTGCCGAGGGTTAAGGTTCCTAATGATACCAGTTCGATACCAGTTTGATACCAGTTCGATACTTAAATTTACTATAAATTTATATGAGTAGGTCACAACCCATATATTAAATTTACTATAGATTGGTACCATTTCGATACCATTTCGATATCGGTTCGGTACTTTTCGGAGCCCTACCGAGGGTGCAGGAAATTCAACTATGAATAAGTCTGCAAGGTTTCACTTTTCCGCAGGATTATCTGCAGGATGATACATTAACAAATCATCAGGCGTCTGACTTTCGAACGCAAGAGTTTTTGTATTTTCAGCCATAAAGTCTTCTGATCAGTTATTAAGAACCACTCTCCATTCATTATCAACATCAGTATTTGTGACCGAACCATATTCGTTACTATTATTCATGATGGTTATCTCTTCACTTTCATCAATGATTATGTCTATTTCTTCAGAAGGGATTTCAACACTTTCGGAGAAGCCTTATGGATTCGATTCATGGTTTTCAGCATTATATATAATCGTGTTTGCATATATACGTTGTTATAATTTGCATGCAACCTTAATCGCACGATTTTATGTTATTTCAGCATGCATCTGTGTCATTGAAAATACTTTTCCAAGCTAAATAGAATGTAGAATAAGTATTTAACAAATAGTTGAACCCAAATAAAACTTATAGACTCTTTTATACCTGCAATCAGTTTCATCGTACTAAATGTATAAAGCCCATTGAAGAAAACAGCCATTCACATAATACTGAATTTATGCAAATTGAAAAGATTTGAACTGCAAGAATACTTAATTCTTTTGTTGCTCCTGTCATAAACTTCCAGTATTCTTGAATGTCATTGAAGTTTGAGAACGTATCATCATCAAATGGATAGTCTTTATTGATGAATTTTGAGAATTCTGATAAGATAACAGATGGTCGTGTTTGAACCATTCTTTATAATAGTACTTTACCCATAATCCGATTTGAGATACGTTTAGTGAGGAAAGATTACTATTAAAGATACTGTTACGATACTTGGGATGAAGGAAAAAAGACAGAATAAGCAATGGTTGTTCCTACTGTTTCCATCGAGACTCTAGATGTTGGACCATATTTTTGCTGAAACTGTCTTCATGATCTTTATATAACTATATGAAATAAGCAAATGCATAGAGAATATCTGATAACCATGCAACATCATGTTGTAGGTAATTGAGTATCGCCATAAATGGAAACAAATATGATTCTAGTTCTTCAATCGTTTGCCACTATTCGTTATCCTCCAAGTATGTTATAATACATATGGATAATTCTTGATGTTGCAAAGTGAGTGCCTATTTTTTTATCCATTAACATATTTTCCCATCATTATCATTATAGCGAAAAGTGGAAGCATACCTTTAAAGCTCTTTTACTATGTACTAATAATGCAAAGCAGAAATAGTAACTATTCCACTGTGTTTGAGTCGGTCTTATTAAAGTATAATATTTTCCATATAGTTCTTTTTGCTTATCACGCAACTTTTTAATCCAAGATGAGTTCCTGTTGTTTGTAAAATAAGCAACAATAGTAATTGCTTTTGAGAATGCAGCTTTATACAAAGGGGATGACTTAAAAATGTCAGCGATACACAAGTTTGCTTGGTGTGCAAAGCAAGGCAGAAAAACAATGTCTTTGTATTCTAATTACATTTTCTGCCTAATAAAAAACAAAGCAATAAATTACTATCAAAGACCATCTGAATTTATACTTTTCTCAGTATGCTAACTGTGAAAGGGAAATTGCATGGTCACATGAGTCTATGCAATGGTGATCCCAAAAATGACAAATCTGAGAAAAATGAGATATCTGTAATATATTTCTTTTCTTTGATTTCTTTCATTTCTT